TTTCAAGTTCATGCTCACGTGTCCTAAAGGAGAACAGGGAATGTGTTGCCCAGAGATGCAGCTGGGACCAGCTGCATGGTGACACAACCCAGAGCTCTTGTAAGCAACCTCCCCACCTTTGGTGGCTCATGGAGAAGACATACAGTGACTTTTCCTCCTTAACTTGATTCAGGAGCCTTGCGCAACCAAACGAGGAACAAATGGTGCCATTAAGATTGCAAAAGCATTTCAGCTGGAATTTCGGGTGAATTATGCAAATAGGGTTTTAATTTGTGCTAATTCATGTCTTCCCAGAAAAAAAAAAAAATAAAAAAATGGTTTTCCCTTGGGGGTGGCATTTTTTGGTCACAGTCTCAGCTGGAAGGTAAATTAGCAAGAACAGAGTGGTGAAATACCTTAGCTGCTATCCACATGTGCATACTGAAAAGCATGAGTGTTGCTCGCTCTAAATGAACTATGGCCACATGTTTTTCTCACCTAAAGCTTGAACCCATCTTCCCAGGAAACCAGGGCAGTTCTTGCAGAGCGTAATCGTCACTGAACTTTCTTTTGTGTTTTGATATCACCAGAATATCGTCCCCGGTTTTGTTTCAATCCTCAAGCCAAACATTTGGAGGCTGTTTTATGGAGCACCCGTTTTGGAGGGTTCTGTCTTTGGAGATGAGAGAAATGGTTTGAAACCGGAGCCTGAAGGATGCCTGTCTCCAGGCACTGATGTGTCTCTGCAGAGCTGTAGAGTGCCTGGCCTCTTTTATGACCTCTCAGTGCATATTTCCTTAACTAAGCTGACTCAGGATGCTGGGGTCACTGAAACATACGTTATTTCAAAGGCTGGGCTGAAGTGTACATGGCATGATCTTCTGTAAATTCATACTAAACTGCAGATCAAGAGCAGTTGCTGTTATTCCTGAGTGGGAACAAGAAAACAGCACGCTCTGTACCTATTCTATATCCCCCCTTGTATATGCTCAGGCCATTCGTTCATTCAAGCACACATTGCAGGTAAGCTGAAGTAAATGCTGTAGTTTCAGCTCTGGCACATGCCCAGGTTCCTTGCTGAATGACAGCTTCCATCATTTCCTTATCCTTCATCAGTGTCTGGTGCCTTTCTGTCTAAGCTCCCATCTCTGTGTGGGTTTAGACACAACTTGTGTAAGCTAGCCTCAACCCAGTCACAGAATGTTCCAATGTCATTTTAAAATTCCAGAAAAAATTTCATATTGAATTATCCACCTAATACCAACTGGCTCAATTATCCAGCATGGGCCTTTTTAGAGATCTCTGTAATTTTTGAAGTGTATGCGTGCTATGTATGTAGATGTTTAAGTCATCCATTATGAGACTGCATTAATTTAGCTGCATCCTTAAATTCTGATGACTTCCCTCCTGTTGGACAATGCTTTACCTTACTTGCAGTCCCTGCTGAGGCTGAAGTCTTATTTCTGAATCACCTCTCTGTACTTCTGAATACCATGCTTGGCAATTAAGTGCCTAACCAGGTTTTGTTTTAGTTTAGATGACGACTTAGATAGCTTATAGGGAGATGCAGGATGGAGACCTGGACAAGTGTTCAACTTCCCTCCCTTTTGAAAAGCTATTTTTTTTCCTATAAGTGGCATTTCCCATTTATTCAGTTTGTGCCCATTACCTCAGGCTGTTAATGGAGCTGTTAAACAGGATTGGATCTGGTATTAACCCCTGTAACGCACTCCAATGCTCGTGCTGTCCCTGATATCATCGTGGTTACACCTTCTACTCCACTACATCGTCACTCAGCCCAAGCTCTTTGCCCAGGATGCCAGTGATTGCTCTGATAGGATCACAGCAATCCCCAAATCAGACGTTCTAGTGAAATCAACAGTAATTTTGCTCAAATAAAGTGGCATTTAAATTCCTTCCTGGCATCTTCCTAGCATGCTCCAAGAGCACTGTAAAATAAAACACATTCTGTGTATTTTGCTTTTTTTTCTTATTACCTGAAGGCAGTAAATCACGGAGTTACAGATGTTACCTCAGTCAGGAATAAAACCATCACCTTTAGCATTGGTTTCAGTAAAAACACAAACACTTCTGCAGTCGAAAGGCAGAGTTTTATGGCTGCGGTTCTTTGGAACAACTAATAAATATTTGTTTGCCATTTCTCTCTGGAGCAACTGTCTACTCTCTAATTTACACATCACCAAGAGGCCATTTAACTCTTGCCTGTAGGTATAAAACCCTATCCATTACCATGTCACTGAAAACATAAACTATCTGAAGGCTGGGAAATGTTTGGAAGTGAATGGAACAGCTCAGCCCACAGCAGGTCATCGCCAAGCAGAACTCAGCATCCCTCAAGAGCCTTACATTTTCTGATTTAACCTACACGTGGTGTTTTTGCCCTTAAGATTGTGGGCACCAGCTCCTAACTCTCAGCCTGGGAATCAGGTGTCTGCTCTTTCCTGGGTTTATTTATAAATGCACATCTTAGGCTTTTATGTATTTGTGTTTTTTGGAAACCTCAGCTGTTTCCCTGGAGATTTGTGCTTCATCAGTTCCTGTCCCTGGATCCCTGGTTGATAAACTGACTTCTAAAAGCCTGTGAATTAGCTGTCTATGGTTGATTGTTTGTTTTCCTTCCTGTTTGGCTTGAGAAACCTGCTTTCCATAAAAATATCAAGAGAAATGCATCTGAATAATTTATTTTTGTTGTTGATTACAGTTCTTCCTTTGTACCTCTTTATGTTGCTCCTCCCTGCTTATGCCCAGCCCTTGCAACAAAAATTTCTCTATGGATTGAGCAGCAGAGCAAGTGCACTAAGATGTAGAATCATAGAATCTTAAGGTTGGGAAAACATAAGTAGCTTTCCAACCTCAGTGCATCTGTGAGGGCACACAAAATGGGCTCAGGGTGGATCCCAGACCAGGCTGCTCTCATTGATGTCTTAGATGGTCAGATTTTGTAAGAGGTACGAAGAAGAAAGTTCTCACTGTGTCCTTTCACATAAGGTTCACCCAAAAGCCTCCTCCAACTTTGCTAGCATCATCTCCATTAATGCCAATGGCAGCAATCAGTGCAGGTGGTGGAGTCAGTGTCCCTTGGAGGTTTTCAAGAAGTGGTAGATGTGGCACTGAGGGATCTGGCTGTGTGGGCAGGGGGGGGATGGGCTGCGGTTGGACTTGATGATCTTTGTGGCTTTTTCCAACCTTAATGATTCTATGGTTCTATGCCTGAGCTGGAAACAAGTGTTTGGCCACAAGCGAAGATGCAGATAAGCCTGATGCTGTAACATCCTGCCCTAAGAAGCATTTGCCCCAACTGTCTCCTGCTCTGTTGGACTCTAGCCTTTTTTCCAGCTTGGACATTGCAGAGCATTCATGTATTAGTACAGCAACACTTGAAAGGTGACATTATTTATAGCCTCTCATAGTACCTTCCTTGTGCCACTGACTTATGAATATACCTGTAAGCTCACGAGAATGTCTCTTTTTCAAATGTCAAAGTCTGTTTGGGCACAGAAGCCATCTCCCAAGCACCAACATTTTGCAAGCCAACCATCTTCCCCATTGCTGTCCAACAATAGCCCATGAGCTCCAGGTTTGGCTTGCATCCCACCATAGTTTGTCGAAAACACCAACACCAAGCTGGCCATAAAATAAAGAAACATTCGTTATGATTTTTTATAGCTCCCAACTACTGTAAACCATGGACGAATAGAGCTGCAAAGCTGGTCATTAAACTGTCTGCTCTTTCCTGTTTGAACAGGGCCTCTCCAGGGCTTTTGCTGCCTCCACCACCATCGGTCAACATCCAGGAAGGAAGACGTTTCTAAGGAAACCACGGAGGCTTTCCACCAAGGTGGTTGCATGAAAGCGCTGAACTGGTGAGAGTGACAAAAAGCAGTTCATTGGATAATGTAGAAAAAGGTAAAAAGTTATTGCACACAGACTGTTTTTATAATGAGGCCATTCAGGCATAAAATCACTTTAAATAGGTAGTTTGTTTCCACATTGCAGAATTATTTTCGTCCTACTCTTTCAAGGGGCAGTTTATCTAGGCACAGTGGTGCATAAATAATAAATAGCCCTAGGGGCAAGGCATTTTTACTTTTTTTTCCCCTGCTTCGTATCCTGTTGCAGTTGGTCTGGGGCTGCAAAATGAATTTTGTTTTCTAAAATAATATTATTTACTTTGAGTGCAGTCCTCTGCAAGATGCCATGAATTCTCTTCTGCAATTGCAATGTCCCAAACCAGACAGGAGCTTTTCAGTCCAGTCTTTTTGCTAAATGGCTTTTCTGTGGGTTGCAGAGTGGCTTGCTGGGAGGACAGGTACAGTGCCATTAGCTCACAGACCTCCAAGAAAGCCATGTGTGCATCCAGTGTTTGGACCAGGTACTCATATGTGGTGCAAATGGTCTGGGATAAACCCATGGAGACCTGAAACGTAAGTTTGCCATAAAGGTTGCTGGTGTGAGGAGGAGGTAACAGCTGACATACTGAGAATATACTTACACTTACACTTAGAGATTCTCTGGACAAACAAGAAAGGTTCATTTCTTCTGTTTCCTGAGATATTGCACATCTCCTGCAGTAACTGCATCTGTTATTGCAGCCAACAGATCAGAAGGCCATACCAAGATCTGCTTGGAGATCTGGAGTCTTATCCTGACTTCAGGGAGCTTCCAAGCTTTGATCCCATGGTAGTGTCAGAAGGTCTGGAGCAAACCTGCCATCAGCACCCGCTCGGTGGAGCCAATTCAGGATCTGACTCACCAGCCCAAATTGAGATTCCTTGTTTACTTTGGTCATAGATCCCAGCTTTGCTGGTATGCTTGACAGGAAAGTAAGGGGGTGGGGGACCTTTCCCTTTTCACCTCTTCCTTGGATTGCCTTCTGTACATCTGAAAGGATGGACGATGGTTGTGGAAGAGTCAAGAAGACTATATTTGGACATGGGAGACTTCAGGCTCGGTGTGGAGATCCCAGAAGGATGAAACACACTGCAGGTGGGCTCTGGGAGAGGAGCAACAGGGATTTGCAATAGGGAAGGGATTAGGTTCAATGAGCTCTGGTGAACAGCTTCCACCTCCTGTGCTAGAGAGGTCCAGTCATTGTGTCACAAGTGTGGGCCCAAGGGAAATAAATAGAACACGTTAAGGAAGGATCAGCCTGAAAGGATCCAGACATGCAATAAAGTCCCAGGTTGCTGATGGGGGAGGGAATGAAATTCCTGCTCTCCTCAAAGCAGTGAGTGATTAGCTCTAAAAGCCATGTGCCAACGCTCCTCCGGCTGCCGTTGTTCAAGATAAAATAACAGGTCATCTGTTGGAGCAGAGGTCCTTCCAGACTGAGGTCTAATTTCTGTGCTCCGGGGGCTTAAGTGCTGGTTCAAAGGTCACCAAGCAGCACCAGTCACCGAGCAAGGACGAAGCTCATTTTCACTCAAAACAGAGCCTGCAGAGCAGGACTCTGCATGCAGTCAATCACACACAGCTTGGATCTGCACATTCTCAACGGAGAAGGAGATGTTTGGAGATCAATAGTGCAGACGGATGGTGCCAGAGCAGATGCTAGTGCAGAGATAGGGCTTACCTTCCCTCTCATAGCCAAAAAGCTTGAAGCACAGAACTGCTGAATAAATTGTAGGAGCTACAGATAAGCTTGTGGGGAACCTCCATGGATCTGCACACCAAAACTCCATGACTCCATCCAGGAACCACATTATTGCTACGCCAACTGTGCCTTCAGCTGAGTGGTGGATGATCTTCATCCCAACAAAAGATGCTTGTGGGTAAGTGAGGGTTTCACTGTACTCTTCCCTCGCAAATAAATAAATAACTAAAAGCACTTTTTCCCCCCCAAAAAACAGAAACATTCATGTTTGAAAGAACTTTTCCTTTCAGTTCCATGAATCTGGTTTCTTATCACTGGAATAGCAGAAGTTAATAAGGTTAATAGTGTGAAACAGAGTGAAATGAGTAGCAGTAGAAGCACAACCCAGGTCCTGCTGGGTGCCTGGCACGCTGCTGGCCCTACCCCAATTGGGAGGGGGATCAACCTGGCCTGGCAGATAGTAATGGCAAGTGGTCACCATGGAGCCTGGAAAATGGATTTTCTTTTTTGCACAGATAGCATGAGAAAGGGTGCACCTATAATAAGCAATAAGCCTTTCATCTACTAGGTAAGGAGATAGGGAAAACCACCTATTCAACACAGAACTTGTTTTAGAAGGCCAGATACAATGGTACCAGAAACTTTGGAAAAGTAAACTAAAAAAGATGCGCAGGAACTCAAGGCCTTTTTTGGACTAAATGTCAATCCACACGTCAACTGGGTAGTGAACTTCCATCTGGTATGACAAACCAAATATTTGCAATTCCTGCTCGCCCTTGGAAAAGCCATTGCCCTTCCCCAGGAGCAATCCAGAAAACCTAAGAACAAGCTCCAAAAGGTCTGCAACACAAAAGCTCTCAGGGGCTGGTTGTGGTGCTCTGCAAAGCATTCAGGGCTTTTGCATGTTTATTCCTTTTAAGCACTGAGTGGCTTTTCTTTCTCCATGATAAAGTGATCTATTTCACAGCTTTCAGCCCAAAGTGTCAAGCACTCAAGCAGAAATTAGACCTTAACGATTGCTAATATATTTCAGCACCTAAGGAATCTATGCAAGAAGGGCAGGTAAAGGATGGAAACGGTCTGTAGTTAATTCCTGCCCTCCCCTTGCAAGGGTTTGTATCCCCTGCCTCCCAGTCTGTGTTTTTACTGAGTGGCAATTAATTAAAAAGATCAAGATAGAAGAAAGATGGAAACCTTATTACTGGTGTTATATTTCCATTCTAGTTTTGCCCAGGGAAAAATGTTTCCCAGGAGATTAGCTAATAGTTAAGCTATTAAAGGCCTTGAAACTGAAAAGGTTATTTGCAAGGTCAGGCAACTTGACTAAGCTCGTAGTTTCAAAATTATCCTGGGTTCCTTTACTAATTCATCGATCAAAATGACACGTTTTAAATTACAGATGAAAATGCAACAGATTTAAGTTCCCATCATGTAACCCCTGCATGAAAACTACACATTACAAGCTTCTAACCATAGTAATTTTTAAGCGAGAAGGGAACATTTGTTCTTATTATGAAGTGCTGATTTACTACAAATTCACAAGAAGCTGAACAAGCCTTCACACTGAAAACACACCGTCTCCCCAGCCACTCTCAGATGCAGTTAATGCAGTATTATTGTTCCATTAGCTTTAGTCATCTTTTTCATTCCTAGTTTAAAGGAAGGGATGCACTTCCATGAGGTGGGAAGCAAATAGAGAGATGTACAGAGCGGCTTTTCTCATGGATTCACTTCAACACTCTTTGTGGGAAGCCAAGACATCTGCAGGACATACAGATGGACTTCTATACAATAAGAATGATAGAGCACTGGAACAGGTTGCCCAGTGAGGTGGTGAAGTCTCCTTCTATGGAAATATTCAAGACCTGGCTAGACGCCTACCTGTGCAACCTGTTGTAGGGTACCTGCTTTAGCAGGGGGGTTGGACTCAATGTTCTCTTGAGCTCCCTTCCAACCCCTGTGATTCTGTGAGCTCCTGGGACCTGTCTGTCCTTCTAGGGTGGTCATAGGGGGTTTGGGGCCGGCTCAGTCGTTCAGCTGTGGCTCTGTTCTGATATTAAATATAATGCCAGGGCTGCCATCTGGGAATGATTCCAGACTGGGCACTACAGGTAGTTGCCTTTGAAACATCATGCTTTGGAAAGGCAAGTCAGGTGCAAAGGGTAACTGTCTGTTTTTCTCAGGAAGAACACCTCGGGAAGGGTTGAATGAACCCACATTAATACATCCAGCCAGGAGTGGAACATCCAAAAGAAATCCATGTTATGTTTGAGATGGGGTCAGAGTGGAGGTTGTGACCGGGGCTTTTGCATCCCATGCACAATCCTAGAATCTCACAAGAGCCACATCACCCCAGAGCTGTGCTATCATGGCAGAGGCAGTGGGGCTGGTTTTCTTTCCATCTGGCCGCTCTGCATCCTCCAGCAAAGGAGTCAGCACTTGCGGCCGCAGCTGTAGCAAAACCCATATGCTGAAGTTTGGATCATTTTCTTTCCCATCCCAGGCATCTGGATTTGTGGCTTGTTCAGCTAATCGCCTTGCTGGCAGGGCTGCACACAGCTAAATAGCCATGGGGAGGCTCAGGGAGGAGCTCACCTGTCCTGCAGGGCACTTCTTATTCTTTCTCTTCAAAGGATGTGACTCACTGACGTAAATTTCGTAGACAACCAGTGAAAAATGCTACTGGATAATAACGACCTCCTTTCAAAGTCTCTGCCATCGTATGTCCCGCTACTTCAAGAATTGTTCCTGTCAGGATAATGTGTTTATAAGTTGTTGTTTTTTTTTTCTTTTTTTTTTTTTTTTCAATGTGAATCAGTTACGAAATATTCAGGCAGAGGGACATATGGAAATCATATGAGGCTTTACTGTGCTACACTTGAATGTGATCCCTGGAGAGCCAGGACTCAATGCAGGGCTGCCCAGCACCACCAAGAGGGGATGCACGGGAGGAGGGGAACCCGGAACTCCTTAGTCTTTCATTTGTGGGGGATCACTGAGCTATCATGGCTGGCAGAGTGTTTGATGCTGGTCAGAAATCTCCCACTGAACTTTTTCCACAGAGGACGCAGGATTTGGTTACATGAACACCATCTGTGTTTTCGAAGCATTTGTTTTTTCTATCAGAAACATAAAACCCCCACTGGAGAGCAGCCCAGGTCCTGGATCCATAGCCTGATGCGAGGCTTTGCAATGCCCTGAGCACAGTGTCACCCATCACAGTGATGTCTCCTGAGCTGGCACCTCTCTGCTGCCAGGAAACAAGACATGAATGATGATGTGAGCAGGAGATTTACCCCTTCACCATCCCTGGAGGTGTTCCAGAACCATGGGGATGTGGCACTGAGGGACGTGGACAGCGTGCATGGGTGGGTGGGTTGGGGTTGGACTGGGTGGCCTCACAGGTCTTTTTTACCATAATGATTCTGTGATTCTATGATACTATTGATCAGCTGTAGGAGCTGCCCATGGCTCTGATTGCTGTTTGCATGGTAACCCCACAGCAGCATACAAAGAATCATCACCCCAGCTCAGCTCATGTGCTTGCTGTTTTGCTTTTACCTTTGCTGTTCTGAAGGTGAACAACCTCTTGCACCCACACAGAATTCAAGGGGTAAGAAAATGTATCAGCCACACTGATAGAAAAACAGTCCAGGCCTACGTGGGCAGGAAAATAATCTGCTTTGCAGAAGGGCCGAGGCAAATGCTAGAAGGAAGAAAGAGAACAAGAGGGAAGGACAGACATCTGCCATGCAGCTCTGCCATGTAACAGATTCAATGTGTATGTTCGGACCAGAGCACACACTTGTTTACTGGGGCAACACTGCTGTCACATGTCACCCACCAAACAAAACTGTACATCAAAGCCACTGAGCACTTGCTAAGCAGCGAGTGTGACCATTCATCATGTAGGGCTACATACATGTTATTCTGCAGTGGAATGCAGTGTGTTGTGCTAGAACATAGTGACAGACACCTCTAAACATGCTGAATGATGGAGTGCCTTTGTGCAGGGGGAGAACATCAGTTAGCTATTATACTGTGACCAGCATGCTGCTTAGGTTCTTATTCAAGTCTCTCTGCCAAAGCTGTGACATTAAAGCTTTCCTTGCAATCTTGTGGTGGGTAATTTTATTTTTATACTTTAACTTGATGCACTCTATCCTGATACTTTTCTTGATGTCACTTCTGTGGCTCAGCACTTGTGGAACTTGTGGAACTGTGAAGAAATGGCCGAGCAGATGCACGGGTTCTGGTTGGACATCATGCAGACAGCACATTGCAAGCTTTCTTTAGAGGACAGCACGTGGGTTATTATTAAACCAGAAAACATATGTGAATAATTGAGGAAAAGCATCCAGTGTTTAGCTCAGAAAGTCAGCTTGCTGAGGATAATGTATCTCTGCATTCTGACCTGTTGCTGACAACAAATATATTTCACTGTTACCTGGATAGCAGTGATGAGATATTTTTTTTCCTTGTCTAAATGAAAGCCAGTTGGGAGAAGCTGGCAACAGACAAATGATGCTCATTCCACCCCTGCTTTTACTTAATGGCTGATATCAAGATCCTCAGCATTCACTGGTGACATTACTATTAAAAACATATTTCTTATCTGGCTCTTTTCTTCCTACAAATCGATCATGGAAATAAATCTGTGCCAATGGAGCAGTGAGCATGCAACCGTGGGAAGGAGGAGGAGTGCAGCCTGCTATGTGGTGCACCTGCCTGCTGCTGCCAGGCATTACCTGCATCCAGGGACTGCAAACTCCATTCCCAGAGAGCCAAAATGCAATGGACTCCATGGAGATAGTGCAAAACCCTATGGATAGAGGAGGTTCTCTTAGCCCCTGTATCTCCCACACATTCAGGAGGATGTGGAAGGTCTCTCAGGTTGTTGATCTCTGCTGGCACACTGGCAGCACCAGGATAGTGGGTGGCTGAGTCTTGAGGAGATGTGCAGTGTATCAGTGTATCCACGTGTCGACACATCAATATGTGGCTGCAGGAAATTGCTGAGTGCAAAATAATCTCCATCAAGATCTGTGTGATTGTTGATCAGTACACGTAATATATGATAGATATACCATCCTATCCAGATCAGGTCTCCAGGATTTAAATATATGTATGATGAATTAAAATTTTGTGTGAAATTCTAGCTGGTTGCTCTGGTGAATATTGGAAAACATGAAGCCTTTCATCCCCAGGAAGACTTTTATTGGGGCAGACGAGTAAGTGCTTCACAGCCTTTTCCGTTATGGAGAACTTTTAAACCACAAGTGTGGTTGAGAAGAAATGAAATTTCCTTTCCAGATTGCCTTAAGGTGCTAAAAAATGCCGTGATTGTTGTTAGTGCCATACAGACAAGGTGGGACAGCACGGAGAATCAGATGAAATTTAATGATAAGTGATAATGTCAGCTCCGTTCATATTAACCAAGCATGAGTTTGAGGTTATGTTTCTTTTCCAGTTTATCTGAATTTCTCTGTTTTTATTTTATTTTATTATGTGTCCTTAGGGCATGGACAAAACTTTACCTGATTGTCTGGAGCCAGCACAGAAAGGCATAACTTTGGGCTTCTTAAGATCTGCAGATAGGAACCTCCTGGCAGTGTGTGCAGAAACGATCAGGTAACCGTCAGGGGATGAGAGTATCTGGTGACCATTTCTGGCATTCAAAAGGGAAAAAAACCTAACTTTGTAACACCACCACCTGAGGACTAAATGGAAAAAAGCAAGGAAAGGGCCATAAGGGGAAGGAGGGTACTGAGTGCCTCTGTACTTCATCCTTTGCATAATTGTTTGAGTTGGAAGGGACCTTCAAAGGCCACCTGATCCAATTGCCCTGCAATGGACAGGGATGCTCAAAGCTTGATGAGGGTGCTCAGAGGAGCCGTACACATGGCTGGATCCAATCGGTTTTCTCCTCACAAAGTCCTTAGGTAAGAATATGCTCAATCATTTAGCTGTGGAGGAAGATATGCTGTGTGCTCCATGAGGAGCCTATCACTCCTCCTGCGGAGTGGGCAAAGCCCACTGAGGGCTGTATTCATAGAGGTGTTCCTGGGACCAGCTCACTTCACTGAATCACCAAGGTTGGAAAGTATTCCAAAATCATCCAGTCCAACATAAACCCACCACCAGCATTCCCCCACTAAACCATATTCCTTAGCACAACATCCAAATGTTTCCTGAACACCACCAGGAACAATTACTCAACCATTTCCCTGGGCAGCCCATTCCAGCACCTGCCCACGCTTTTGGATAAGAAATATTTCCTAATATCCAACCTGAACCTCTCCTGGCACAAGTAGAAGCCATTCCCTCTCATCCTATCAATAAGAAGGAATAAGCTCTGAGATATTCCAACCTGTGATATGTCATAAAATAACATGCTATGGCATCTCCTCTCACTGTTTTCCTTTCAGGCCCACAAGGACAACACGGGACGAATCAATCATACAAGATGGATGAGGCCACTGGGTGATGCTTGGGTGAAAACCGCTTCCAGATTTCACACCAGCTTCACTTTTGTGCCCCGGCTGAAAACACAGCTTTATTGCATGACCATAAGTAACACAGGAAGGCACTCACCACTCCGTTTTGTGCAGCTTTTGTTTGTGATAGTTTTAATTTACTGCTGAAGTGAATCCGAGACTGATAATTTTATGATTTTTTACCGAGAGAAGACATTAAGCTACTTACTTTGGCTGCACTTCCTACTCTGCAGAAATTATTTATCCAAGCACAGCGGCAAAGTGGGTCAGGGGAGGAATAATAATAATAATAATAATAAAAAGAAACTGCCCACAAAAATCTTGAATCCCTTGCAGAAGTTGGATTAAGGCTCAAGATACTGGATGCAAACCGCTGCCACGTTCTCCATTTCAAAGGAAAGGTGTCAGCTCAGGCAGCGATGTAAAAGACTGCAAAGTTTGGGCTGCAAAATCCCCTTCCCACCGTTTTCCATGCTGGTCACAAAGGAACAAAGAGCTGGATTTGGTTCTGCAAGCTGCTCTGCCTTTTCCTCAAGGGATATAAACCCCAAGGAGTGAGTTGCTTCATTGATTCTATGAAAAAGAGCAGAGAAAGCACTTGGGAAAATATGGGTAAGCAGCAGTGCTCATGAGGAGGAGGGGAGAACAGGGAAGAGAAAGCTTTTTTTCCTGTATTTTCTACCACCAACTGCTCAGTTTGGGTGAAATAGGAGAGTCACATCTTTTCCCAACTCTCTAAAGTGAGGCAACTTTGCTGAGGCCCCGGCTTGAACCGTACTGTGCCCAGATATCATCAGATCCTGCACAAGAAAAATAAAGAGCTCAAGTTGCAAGAGAAGAGCGATGGAGGAGTGAAACTCGAGAGGAGCATGCAGTTTGCTGACAGCTCCCTGCAGCTCAAACCAACCCATCAGGGCTGCAGTAAAGCCTTGGAGCAGCAGCATTCTGCTCCAGGAAAATCAACATGGTGCAGCTGGGAGGGGATTATGCTCATGCAGAACGATCTCTGCAGTGGCACCAGAGGAAGAGATCACACCATTTGCAAAAGCGATCTGTGCAGGTGAGAAGGGAAGCACAAGCCACACCAGCAGCTCAGCTAATCAAAAAGGATCTAGCATTAATAAGCCAGAAGTGGAGGAAAAGAGATAAAACCTGGCAAGGCTGTTGGCAGAAGGATGCTTTTCTCACCTCACCAGCAGGAATCCAACCCACAAAAACCAAATGCATTTCTTACATTAGACAATTAAAACCCATCTTAATCCTGGGAGACTTCAGGTGGCATAGCATGCTGTTATTTAATTGCGCCTTCCAGGGCTGATTAGCTATCCAAGCAGCAAGGCATCTCCACCTCCAGTAGAAGTAAAGGAAGAGAGAGCAGTGGGATGGAACCTCTAGACCAAGAAGGTACGACAGCCACAGTGGGATCAAAGTAACTCCAAGTTGAACAAAGTCTGATCTTAGAGAGGCTAACTGGAATTTTATTCCCAGTTTCTATAAGGGCATCGGTAGTGGTTGTAGATCCAGGCACGGTATGGTTGAGATGGGGTGCAGGTGGGCTGGATGTGATCTGCTGGATCCCAGCCTTGTCAGGAAATTCAATTCATTCTTCAGAGTGATGTTGTCAGTGACCTCTGTTGACTGTGTGGAGCATCACAGACAGCCCTGTGAGCACAGCCCACCTCTCCACTCTGGGAAATAGCTCAGAACACCAAACTCACAAGTAGAAAAGTGCCTGAGCCAGCAGGAACAGGCCTTCAGCTGGGAAGGTGGGTAAATTTGGAGCAAGAAGACCAGTGTTTGCAAAATGAAATTCTGGAATGATTTCAGATTGCCTTGATTAAAGCCAGATTTGTTGCCTTGTGTCCATTTTAGGTTAGCTGTGAGGTTGCTTCTTTTCCATAGGTGTTTCCATGGCTACTTAATGAAGCTTTCGCTCTAGCTTCTCACTTGGAAAGTAGGAATTGGGACAAATTTGAAGAGCTTTTAAAGGGGTGAAAAATAGCTGAGTTAATTTGGCCTCTCCTCTACTCATCCACCCTCCCTGACAAGACAGATGTGATGTTGGTCTCCACAAAGTGATTAGAGGTGAGACCTGTGGGCAAACTGGGAAGTACAGCCCTGCCTGTCCCATGCGATCATCCTTACTGAAACGTTTCAAATAAGCCTCAGCTTGCTTGCAGATGTCAGGATGAAGCAGAGAAGTTCATTTCCTCCTGCAAGTGAAAGGTCACCGAGGAGCAGCACTCGTGGCAATCTCCATGTGTACCCAGCAGACATGATGAGAGGGACGTTTGCCACACAGGCAGCACTTGTTGCAGCTCTGGCTTGCACTGGTTGTACATACTCAACCTCAACCAACCTCTGTCTTCCTAAATGTTGGTAAGTTTCCCTCTGATATTCTGAAGAGCAGCTCTTCAAGATGGGTGACTTTCAAAGTGGCTGATTGTGCAGATGTGTCATGGCAGACAGGGTGGGAATGCGTGCAGCTGGAGGAGTGCTGGGGCTATATATTTTGCAGAGTTTGGAGTGTTTGTGAGCATGGCCTGAGTCAGCAGTCTGTGTTTTCTCCCAGGCAAGAAGAGATATTTCATGCAAACTTCGCCATCCTGTTCTCGTTTCCTGTGTATAAGAAATGACCTGAAAGCAGAGAAGGAGACAATGCAGAAAACTGTGATGCACGAGGGATACTAATAAGCCAGGAGCATTTAAAAACAAAGCTTTTCAGCAACTGAATTATTTAACAGCAGAAGAGTTGGAGAAAAGGAAGGGATTTCTGGCCTGAGCTGGCAGGGTCAGCGCTGTCTATAGGGCTAACTTGGCACTCCTCCGTACAAGGCTTGTGGATTTACTCCTGCAATCTGTGCTGAAGACAGGAGATCAAGGGGTTTTGAAGGCTACTGAGTATTGTGTCTTTGCTTTCGACAAGGCTGTATGTTCAAGAAGGGATTATATCCACAGCACTGTGGGTGCCACCTGTCACTGCTACTTTTTCTAATATTAATCTTAGTACTCCTTCTCATAGCATCATTAAGGTTGGAAAAGACCTTCAGAATCTTTCAGTTCAACCATCAACCCACCCCACCATGCCCACTAACCGTGTCCCTAAGTGCCACATCAACCTTTCCATTCCATGCACAAATCCTTTAAAGGTCCAGTTTTAAGGAAATATGAATCCTATTTTTTGAAACAAAAGGATTACAAAAATCCTATTCACAACTTACAACAGTGTCATGCTTTCTGTTGCTAGGAGTTCCTCTTACAAAATCAGCTCAGCTTTTGAGGGTCTGCCTATCTGATAGGGTGACATACAGCTTGAATGCAAGCCAGTCAAAACTCAACACCTCAGCAAAGTCAGTCCTCTGGGAAGCAGAAGCTGAGCAGCCCACGTGGGTGCTACTGGAGTCCTCCTCTGGAGAAGATGCAGAGCTGAGGTCTGGATCACACATGGCTGGGACAGTCCCAGCAGAGGCTTGCAGAGCTCTGTGTTGCACCATTGCAGTTTAGTCTGATTTGCAGTAGTGGGGTCTGGTCTGGCCTCATCTATTCGCTCAGCTTCTCTCCATTAGTGAATCCTTTGGCGCTTATTACCCTTCTTCTTGTTTCAAGATCACCATGGATTGGGAACTCAGCCTCAAATGAATTGCTTTGTGTCTAGAATTTGTCACTGCTCCCAGATCATCAGCAGACAAAACGACTCAAAACATTCATCACCATTATTGTAATTATTACTGTGATTGCTGCTTATTCCCAGCAGAAATTTCTCACCAAATGATCCCTGATAAACCTTCAACAAATGATGTCTTATTTTAAAAACAAATAATTTCCAACAGGAATAGCAGGCAGTTGCAGCTCCTTTGGCTGCTGTGTGCTCCAAGCTATGATATGCAAGCTGTGCTCGTATGGGTACCAGCACTGGGCTCTGTACAGCCCAAGTGAAAACAGCAAAAGGTAACTGGGAAATAGATGTCAACAGTGCTTCTAATCATCGCAGGCCTCCTTAGACACATGTTTGTAATTGCTTTAAAATAATAATAAAAAAAAAAGAAACGAAATAAAAACAGTTATGAATAATCTAATAAGCTCACCAACCACCTGTGAAACGTGGCTTCCCAGCTGCACAGTATCAAACACAGGAATAGAAAACAGAGCATTCTCCGAGGCAACGCACATCCACATCATCCCGAAGCTGCAGAAGAAAAATGCATTAATGCCATTTTTGGCTCACGGTGTGCATGCCACTCTGTGTAAATGTGTTGGAGGAGTGGTTGGTCAGAGAATCTGCTTTAAAGTAAAAAGCTGGGGAGGGGAAGATGGAGGAGGAAGATGACATCGTTGACAAAACCCTGTGTAACAGTAATTTAAGGGGCTGCAATCTGGCAGGCAGAATTAAGAATAACGAAGCATGTTTGCCTAATATAAAGATATTCAGGAGTAAGTGCTCAAGCAATGTTAACATGCAGAGCTGCATGGGAGGCTTTATTCAGAAAGTAATTTGTTTTCCTGCTATGAAAAGAGGGTTATGTTTGCTGTGTTTTGTAGCCACCCAGCACGTGTCCTCGCAACGCTGTTTTTCATGGGAATGAGCTGTTTCATGGAGGGAAAAAGGTAACATCCTGACATGGAGGAAAAAAGAAAACTCTATTTGCAAGACTGTTCTGACATGTTTTTCTTCTACACAGAACCAGACATCAAGTACAGCTTCTTAGCCACGACACTAAGTGACCCACCCAAAGAACTCTTTTTCCACAAACAATATAACGTTGGGAGAAGGAGCCTGAGAGGAAAAGCAAACAGTCCTTAAAGCAACTACTTTATTTGGATAGTTCTGAACCACTGGCGTTGGGGGCAGATTTTAAGTCGGTGGGCGTGGGGAGAGGAAAGCTCATGGTTTTGATTTGAAGTAGCCACATCAAAACCCCTTTTTAGTGAATGGAATGGCAGTGTTTTGAAAAATACATCCTTCTTAAGGGGATGTTAGGGAAAACAGTGCTGTGGCCTGCTGAATGATAAAAGCCAACGTGTTGGCTGAGGAGGAAAAAAAAAATTGCCTGGAAGTAAGACAGTTGGATCAGTACAAGGGAGCCTTGCTCTGGTTGGAGCAGTACCTGTTTGGTGAAGGAAATCATTATGCACACGTGTTGCTGGTGGGCAGGGTAGTCCTAGCGAGTAGAACAGACGCCAAAATGTTGTTCTTTCTTTTCCACCACATGGACTGCTGACACGGAGTTGTGCACACTGTGTTGGCAAGACACTAAAAAGCAGTTGTTTTGCTCAGAAGAGATTTGGAGCCCTAGTTAAAGACCTGTCCATCCATCCTGTCTGGGTACAGCCTACCAGCCAAGTCCCCGAGGCACTGCTGATGGATGAGCCACAGACCTGCATGCTGTCTGCTCTGTGTTGAACAATAACATGATTTGGAACAATAAGGACACGGAAAATAGTTACTGGGCAATGAGGACATCTCTTACTGAGTCTTCTAACCTTTGGCTTCAGCTTTCACTTGTACTTTTGATCACCACACTGTACGTTTTAGAGGGGAATGGTGTTCTGCTTCCCATGCTAACCAGATCACTGCATCTCTCCCAGATGGATGCTCCCAGGTCTAAAGGAAATATATATATATATTTCATCAAAGTTCAAGCATGGAGCAGGTGACCATGGTGTGGCAAGGGCAACCAAGGGCCACCATAGTAGCACCTTCTTCAGCAGGCCGTGAAGCTTCTGTCAAAGGCAGCCAAAGATCAGGACCTCCACAGAGGTTTCTGAAATCTGGAAATGTGTTTTCATTCTGGTGTGGAACAAGAACCAAAGTACCACAAAGGTTTCTGAGAATTGGAAATGTGTTTTCATTCTGGTGTGGAACAAGAACCAAAATAGTCAAACGCTCCACCGAAATGGAAATAGTTTTCTTGTTATTTTTGCCATTGAAACATCTGTTTTCAGATTGAGATCAGGGTTCTCATTTAGATCTTTCTCTGCATATAAATTGACCCCAGAATCTCTGAAAACTTTCCCATGGAAATATTATTAATGGGACTATTTCACTGTGAGATGTTTTGGTTTGGATGAAGCAGCATTTTCCAACAATCTCATTAAGATATTTGAGTGGCTTCAGTCTCAAAAGCACAAACTATTTTTTCTAGCATTTTCAGATCCTACTGTAAAAAAAAAACAACACAAACCAGTACCAAAGTACTGCTTTGTCACCCATCAGATACATAAAATGAGAGCTGTATTATTGCCTGTTACAGCCTTTTATCAACGGATCTTTGTTCACAACAAATCTCTTACAAAAATGAGAAAAAAGAAAATATCACAGAATACCTCCAGACAAGGCTCTCAGTGCCATTCAGCAAGGATGCATTTTGGTCATTAATCACCCACATTTAGGCTAGCAGTTAGAAAAGCCCAGCTGTTCCAAGCCACAATGCTTTCCTTCATTACATTAGTATCTCCCTATTAACAACTTCAACACATGATCTCCAAGAAGGATCATAGTGCCTTATTCCCAAGGTGGCCATTGTGGCGTTGTTTAAGATTGAAAAGTTCATGTACTTAATGCCCCTAAAAAATCCCAGCTTTGTGCAAAGAGCTTTTGTACAGGCAATAGTTGATCTCACACCAGTGCTGCTGTTACCCGGCAGCTCCCAAGACACCTTGGGGTCTCCAACCTTCCCAGTGAGCAGTTATGGATACCCTCCCTGGAGATGGACTTTCGGACTGGAGTCAGGTATTGAGCAAGCTCTGAGCTTCAAATGAGTGGGAGCTGTCTGACACATGTAACTTGTGCTTCGTGCCAGGGCTGATTGAAGCACTGACTGAATGTCTCCTTATTTCTTCCCCTCCCAGCACTGCATAGTGCCAAGCTGCTGCATTTCCTCTGCTCATCTCTAATTCAGGCTCTTTTTTTCTGTTCTTTTTCCTTGCAAGCATCCATCGTCCAGTCTGGGATTTCACAGGCAATCTGGTGCCAGGAGCCATTTGGATGATGCCAACCTGCTGAACACACCCAGGTAAAAGCCCAGTGCATGCTTTGCTGGGTTGAGCCCATGCACATCCTCCCATTCAGGACCACACTCTCTTGTCCTTACCCCAGGGATGGCACTGCATGTTGGGATCTGCTCATGGCTGCCCCCTCTTTTGGCATCACCTCTGCCCATCAATGCCTTCCAGGGACATATTCACACTTCTCAAAGCCACAGCTTTGGAGTGGGTTTAAAATTTTCCCCGGGCACATTCCTAGGGCCTCTGGTTTCCAAACTGTCAGGAATTTGCCACACAAACATGCTCCTCCCCTTGATTTGTTTCTTCCAAGTAATTAGATCGGGGATTGTTTGTTACCTGTCATACCTTGGTTTAAGCCATTTGGGAACAAAGTGGGAGAAGAAAAAAAAAATGAGAGGCTCACAGTGGATTAAGACTGCTGATTGTAGTAACAAGAGAAGGTATTTTAATGACAGGTTTAAGACTTGCTAAGTAACTGCTGTGAGGATTATGAATATATTTTGTAACAGGGTAAGATTAGCAGATAATCCCTTAGGAAAAAAAAAAGAGAGAGAGAGAGAGAGAGATTGTGAACTTTTTGAATCTTTTTCAAAAGAAAAATAAACTACAAAAACACAAAAAGCCTTAAAAAATTCTACACGTGGAAAATTTTCCTTTGAAACATTGGCACCATTAAGTATTTCTGGGTCAGTATCTTTGGCGGGATTATGCTGATGTACCTTAACGTGAGTAAAGAAATGCTGATTTATAGCACATTTAATTTGAGCGTTTCTTAAAGGAACTAACGTGCTTCTTGCCAAGGAGCAGCCTGGCATCTTCAGCTGCAGGGAGCAGTCCTCAAGAAGCAAGCTGACTTTCTTAGAAAATGAGCTCTTGCTCCAGAACAATGCAGTCATTGATACCTAAATGTCATATGGAAATTTCGAGGACACTTGGGGCCTTTCTCTTTCCTGACTCCATGAGACCTGATCTTAACCCTCGCCAAACAGGATGTCTGACCAACCATTAGCTTTGGATTTGACCCTTTCTTTCTATTCATCGTGAGGAAGGGAAGCGATGCACAAAAAGCTGTGTTTTCATTAATTATCAGCAGTAGGAATTCACTGCCTGAAACATCTTCTTCTTGGCTGTATGTACATGTTTCTATGTTCATGAGATCTGTGTGGGCAGATCTCTGCTGACAAAGGATGTTTTTCCAAGCAGTGCTGGAGCTCTGCAAAACCAGCTGAAGACTTGGCTGCTTGAAACTGATGAGGGGTAGTGTTGCTCAGACCTCTACCAACTATGATGCAAACCCATAGAATCATTAAGGTTGAAAAAACCAATAAGATCATCTAGTCCAATCATCAGCCCATGTCTGTGACTGCTCTAGAACTTGTCACTCAATGTGACACCCACCCTTTTGCTTGAACATCTCCAGGGATGGTGACTCCATCAGCTCCCTGGGAAGCATGTTCCAATCCCCTCAACCCATGGGGAAGGATTATGTCTATTCTCTGGCCAGCAGAATTTGGGTCTGATTTCCTTTCCTTTTTATTAAATGCCATTTATTCAGGTCTGAAGAGCACCGTAAGCAGATTTAGAAATGAGTCAGAAGTGTTTCCAGGAGAATGTTATAGGCTCATGGATTTGCTCTGAAGCTGAGCATCACCATAGCTCTTTTCCAACTGCAAAATCTTGAGTCACTAGATGCAACAAGACTCAGAGCTCATAGGGGAAGTTTCTGAAGTACTATTATTACCATCTCTCGTATACGGACCTTCAATGACTTACTTCAGTATCTCTTCACATAAAATCAGCAGAACAAAAAGCATTCCATGGAAATAAAAAGAGGAATTAATAGGGTGTTTTCAGTAGGAAGCATCTCACTAATATTTGTGCAATGCTGAGTCCTTCTCAGCAGAGAGACTTGAAAACAACAGCCAAACATCAAACTATAGGATAAATCCCAATGGCCAAAGGCTTCACTCATGGACATGTTTTTCCCCCTTTCTGACCAGTACAAGACACACCTCACATCTCAGAAGCAGAGGCAAAACTCAAGCTAAGTCGCTGCTGTGACATTAAATTATGTTTTAGGTCCACAGAAGGGCTTTCTGAGATTAGAGAGGGAAATGAAAGCCGACAGTGATTTAAATGAAGGAAGGAAACAGAGCAAAAAAGGACGAAGTGCTCTGGATAGAACTTTCCTCAAAGCACACTGAGATCAACGCGAGCCATATTTCTTATCCAGACAGGTTTTGCAGCAAGCCTGTGGTTAAATGTCCAGTTACAGTCTTTGTTTGGTCCATGGCCACAGAGAAGCAGAAACTGCTTTTTCTCCCAGAGAAGCAGTTCCTTGCCAAGTATCCCCACACAAAGAAAACAAACACAGGAGAAGGCACCATCGCAGATACCCAGGGAGATAAGCTGCAAAAACATGTGCTCTGGGCAAAAGTGCAAGGTGCAGAATGTGAGTTCATGATCTACATGTGTTCTTCACTCTGTTATGTTTATTTTTGCACGGTTTTGATGTGTTAAATTAAGGGATAGTTCATGGCCGTAAGTCATCTTCTTGCTGTCGGAAGCCAAATAGTGGGAAGCAGGTATCTTGCACATCAGAGGCCAGCTGTTTCACAGGGAGACTTCAAATGACTAAAGCGAGAACATGAGTGGTTGTGCCATGGCTCAAAATATTGAAGGAACTCCAAAGTTTTCGGAACAAAAATTGCCTTAGGTCTCAACTGCAAATTAGAAAGGGATGAAAATATCTGCTCCTCAAAGCGTTTCAGTGATTGAGATCATCAAACTATCCGAACTGGTTTCCATGAGTTTCCATGATCTCTCTTGGTACAGTTCCTGCTCCAAAGGCTTTATCTGGAGCAGAACCAGCCTGTGCAGCACGTAGCGGTGAGTCCAAAGAGATGATCCCAGCCCATGGTTGGCTGTACTCTGCTTTAACATTCATCTGACCTTACTTTCAGCATAGTGGAGGAAAAAAATGACCCATCCTAACCCAGCCATCCAGTTTCCTGCTAAATCTGTGGGTCCAATTGCCTTCTGATATTCTGTGTGCAATATGAGGTGGAAATCTTTAGGAAGGCACAACAAAGAGATCCTACAGTTTGGAGAGGAGATGGATTTTCTCAGCACTTACAAATGGAAACTTGGACATTTTTCTTCTCCTTTTCCAAAATATTTTTCCCATGCAGCAGCTGACTGTATTACAAAATTAGTGCAGCACTGATCTGTAAGTGCAAAGACACCTTAAGGAATTTGGGATAAAGTCTCGAGGGGATCCTGCTCAAATCTGCCTGTTGGCTTTTGAGAACCAGCTTGAGTTTTCCTGATGTGTGTTTCCACAGTGCTGGTGGTCTTATTAACCATGAAAAGTTAGGCAGCAACAAAACAACAAGGAAGAATCAATCCTTTTCCAGAATTTTCCATTATTATGGGGAAAAAACTGAGTATGCAGGAGTCACAGCTACTGACATTTAAAATCCATCAACATTTTAGTGTAGAGATCCGTGCTGTAACTTGGTGGTAAACTCAGTGGCTGTATATAAAGCAGAGTAGTTAAGCTTTGCTATTGTTTAAACATGCTTCAGTGCCCAAAAGAGTTTGCATAAAGCGCTCTTATGGACTAATCCATCAGTGTGGATGGGGATTGAATTCATCTATTAATTTGTTTCCAATTAATAACCCAATTGATTCAGAACAAAAAATACTTTTTGCATCCATTTTGTGTTTTCCTTTCATATTCAGCATAACTCACCAATGCCAAAAAAACCGCCGGGACAGGACCAATGGCAGCAGTAATTGTGTCACTAACTCACAGCTCAGCATCAAGGTTGCAGCTCTCCTGTGTGTTTTCCCAAATCCAATTTAAGCTCATAATGTACTTTATTAGCTGAAGACAGAATATTTAAACTCAAAATATTTTGTTTTTTAAGTTTCATCTTTTGAAATGGCAATTGGCAATATTCAAGCCACATGTTAGCCACTTGTTTTTAGGACAGAGGGTGTACCTTAGTACAAACCTTTCTCTGTTTCTTGAAAAAACAACAATAAACCACCCTTTGCCTTTTATCCACATCTGGCTGCAGCAGAAACAGTGACCCATGGAATTCAAAATTTCATACTTCACTGCTGCAGGCAAAGTCCAGAGGTTATTCTCACTGTGTTTGTGAAAGATGTAGCGCTGTCAGGAGGAGAAGTGCTTATTGAAAAAACACGTGGGGTTTCTGTGTCCAAAAGTTATGGAATTAAGCAGTGATAAAAGACTTTTTAATGCCCAGTAGTTGTTCATGGGATTTAATAGGGAACGGCTCAGTTGCTAATTGCAAAACAAGAGTAAACATCCCATGTCAGATCTCATGCATGGAGCGCTACAGCTCAGCAGATCTGCGATGCAGAAATCTCTCTTCAAGGGTCTGCAATTCCAAGGAGGCTGTTAAACATAAATTACCAGTAATAGTAACCTCGATTGTAAGCTTATGCTAAATATATTGCAATACCATAGTAAGTCAAGTTTTCCAAGAATTCAAGGAGGGTAAGAATTATCAGAAAGAGGAGGATGAATCTAAGTTATTTTCCCAATGCCGCCATCCAAAGATCATCTTTCTCCATTTCTGAGAGCTGTGAAATAGAACTTAAGGTTGGTCTGAACTGAGAAAATAGGAGTAATAGTCAAATCCTTATTCTTTCTCTTATTTTGTCTGAGTAGCAGCCTGCTACAATTACTGCTTAACTTGTAGAAACCCTACACATGAGATGGCTGAGTCCAAAATCTACCATCATTTTAGTGGCGTGGTTTAATGCACATGGCGATGATGGGTTGCTGGTTGGACTACGTGATCTTAGTGATCTTTTCCAACTTTAATGATTCTGTGATTCTATTATTATTATTTTATCATGCCTCTAACCTATCACTTGCCCAAACTCATCACTCAAGTTGCCTTCATCTGGTGTAAAGGACTCCCCGCATTTAAAGTTGGACAGTTTTGTGGATGGGAAAATGCTGTCAAGT